CAGCTAGACTACTAATTAGCTTAGTTTAAACTAGTTAAAGCACTTTAACACGCATATAAAGAAGTGTACTATTAGTAGCTACTATCTGCTAGTTATTAATAGCTATAAAAGCTATAACTTACTTTATTTTTAGTAATACTATAAAAATAATAAAATTATTACTATTTATATACTTTTTTACTTATTGCACTTTTTATAGCTACTTAATGTAGGTTATTTTACTCTTTTAAAAAAAGTGTATAAGTGCTAAGCTAAAAACCTTATGTGTAACTAGATTACTTATATTATAAAAATAAAGTTCTTGTTATGCTTTAAAGTAGCCTATAATGTTATAATTACTTTTAGTAATATTTAAAAAAAGTTTTAAAGCGCTAGATTAGTTTCTTTTAACCTAAAATAAGTTATAATATGCTTTAATATAAAGTTGCGCACTTTATTACTACTACTACTTATATATAATAAGCCTTAGTAGTTGTAAACTCTAAGTAATACTCTAAAACTTAAGTTATAATTAATGCTTATAAAAATAAAAATTTAAAAGTATATAAATAGTTTACTAACTTTTATAGTTAAGGTGTTTAAAAAAGTTTTAAAAAAAGTAGTAATAATTACATATAAGCTAGTATTAGCATAATAAGAAATTACTAAGCTTTAAGCAGCTAATAAGGCTGCTATGTAACATAAATTATATAAAAAAAAGCAAATTAAGGCAGAAAAAACCTTAATAATTTAAAAAGGCCTACGCTTAATAGCTTTAAAGAAGTTTAAAGTGTGTAGTAATAGAAAAAAGGTAAAGAAGCAGGTGTAAGCTAAAGTAAGTAAGCTCTTCTAAAGGCGCTACAGATAGTGCAATTAGACTAGGCATAACGCGCAAACATGTAAGTAAGAAGCAGAAGTAGTATCTAAATAATATTCTAGGCTGTACTGTACTATATAGTGCCAGAGCAGGTTGTTATAGGCTATAATAGAGTTTGTTAGGGTAGAGTCTTAGCAAAAGTAAGCAACTTAGGTGTGTGAGCAACTCGCCTATAAAGTACGTTAATTACTTTTAGTAATATCTAAGAATAGTTCTAAGGCGCTAGATTAGTTCCTTTTAACTTATAATAAGTTATAATAAGCTTTAATATAAAGTTGCACACTTTATTACTACTACTACTTATATATAATAAGCCTTAGCAGTTATAAACTCTAAGTAATACTCTAAAACTTAAGTTATAATTAATACTTATAAAAATAAAAATTTAAAAGCATATAAATAGTTTACTAACTTTTATAGTTAAAGTGTTTAAAAAAGTTTTAAAAAGAGTAGTAATAATTACACATAAGCTAGTGTTAGTGTAATAAAAAATTACTAAGCTTTAAGTAGCTAATAATGCTACTATATAATATAAATTACATAAAAAAAAGTAAATTAAGGTAGAAAAGACTTTAATAATTTAAAAAAGCCTACACTTAATAGCTTTAAAAAAGTTTAAAGCGCATAGTAATAGAAAAAAGGCAAAGAAGCAGGTGTAAGCTAAAGTAGGTAAGCTATTCTAAAGGCGCTGTAGATAGTGTAATTAGACTAGGCATAACACATAAATGTGTAAGTAAGAAGTAGAAGTAGTATCTAAATAATATTCTAGGCTGTAATGTACTATATAGTGCTAGAGCAGGTTATTATAGGCTATAATAGAGTTTGTTAGAGTGGGGTCTTGGCAAAAGGAAGCGACTTAGGTGTGTAAGCAACTTGCCTGTGAAGTACGTTAGTAAGTTTACTTAGTCTTTTAAACTTTTAGTTATAAATTTTAATTAAAAACTACTATTATTTTTTTATTTATAATATTATATTTTACTTTAGCTATTTATTACACTATGTTAAATGTTATGTAGTTATTACTAATGTTTATTTAGTATAGTAACACTATATATTTTCTAAAGTAATTATGTTATTATCTGCACTTTTAGCATAAGTAACTTTAGAACTGTTTAGAGAGCTTTTACGCTAAAGTGCCTAGAGTTCTATTATTAAGGGAAACTCTTTTTTTTCTTTTTTAATATTTATAATGTATTCTTAGATTTAAGTCTTTTTTTTATATTTTTTAAAAATTATAAAGTCCTATAACACTTAATTAAAGCTACTAAAGTTTATAATAACTACTTTTTAATACAGCTTAAGGCAGTTTTTTAAAGAATAGTTTTCTTTATATTACTAGTAAAGTTTATGATTTAATTTTTTTAATATTTTCTTATTTATAAAGCTATATTTAGTAGTAATAGCTTTTACTATTATAGTAGTATTTTTATTCTCCTCTTTTTAAAAGTCTAGGTAATTTTAGCAGAAATGTCTTACTTTTTTATAGTTTAGGTAGGCCTTATTTTTTGCTATTTCTATTACTTCTTAGTTAAAGGCAGCCTATTATGTCTAAAGGCTTAGCTTTTCTTTAAGGGGGGGCTTTATATATGTTTTATATAACTAAGGTCTATTAGTTCTTTATTATAATAAAGAGCTTCTTTTTTTTAGAAATAAACTTAGGTTTCTAAAAAGCTTCTTTACACTGCTTTTCTTTTTTACATTCTTTATACTTATTATTATAAATTGTTACTTTTATAATAAAAATTTTAAAAGTAGTTTGTTTTTTATTATGTTTTTTAAACTATTATAGAACATTTAGCAGAGTGCTTTTTAGTCTGTTTATCTATAAATAGCTAGCTGTTCTCTAAAACGCGCTGCATAGTACTAAGCTGTTCTTTTTTCTTATTTTAAAGTGTTTAGTTTATTAGCTGTAAAGTTTATTTATTTATAGTTTTATAAATAGCTGTTAGAGCTTTTTTCAAAGCTTTTATACTACTAAATATTTCTTTAGTCTTAAGATTTAGTGTAGTGCTATTTACTTTAAAGTCTATCTAATTATTTACGTGTGGCTAGAACTAGATTATAGGGGGTTCTTTTAAATGTAATCCTATCTAGAATATTATTTCTTTATTCATTTAGAATACTTTTCTATTATACTACATATAAAAGTAGCATCTAGTAAAAAAGAGGTAGAGGTCTTTAAGTAATTCTTTAAAAGGCTTTAAAAAGGCTAGTTTTAAAGTTTTTTTTTTAGCTATAATGCTTACTTTTTTAGTTAATATATTCTAAAGTTTAGCTAACTCTACCTATAATGTGTGTATCTAACTTACAGAGTTTATAGCTCTTTAAAAATTTATAGAGGTTAGTTAATTATTAAATTTAGTTATTTTCTAGTATAAGTTGTTTACTTTTTTATAAAGACTAACTAGCCTATTAATTTTATTACTAATTTATTAAAGTTCTTTAATGTTATCCTAGATACTATTAATCTATTCTGCTAAAATTCTTTTATTAGCTATTAAAACTTCTGTTAATTCTAATAAAGCTATATAGGCTATGTTAAAATTAAGGTTATATTAAGTGGTTATACTTTTTAAAGAGTATAGTGTTTAATATTATAATCTTTGCTTTAGAAAGCACTTAGGTTAATGTTATTCCTAGGGTAATAAGACAAAGGTTAGAGGCTAACAGTAAGGTGTACAGTTCTACGTAATAGCTAATAGGCTAACAGAGTAGGTTAGAGTAACTAGATTATAGTTTATCCCTATAGCAGTAGTATAGTGGCTAGGTTAAACAGTTCTCTTAGATAGAATTAGAGGTATATATATTGTAAGATATATAAATAGTATTAACGTACTTTACAGGCAAGTTGCTTACACACCTAAGTTGCTTACTTTTACTAAGACCCTACTAAACTACTCTTTCTACACTAATGCATTCCCTACAACACTACTTAGACGCGCTAAAATAATGTTAGATACAGCTTACACTCTAAGCTTTTAAATAAGACATAAAACTCTTAAAGAAATATGCTATAGCTATGTATAAAGTTTTATAAAAGACAATAAATAACTATAGCGCTAGACAACCTTTACAAGCTAATTCTATAGCTAAATTATAAAGGCTAGGTAATAAAAAAAAGTAGGTAATTATTAAGACTATACTTAAGCTATATGCGTAAGAAATTTCCCCTTAGATAGCATTTATAGCTAATATAGCTAATTCTTTACGCGCTAAGCATAATCTAGGCTATATTTACATAAACTAGCTTAGTACATTTATAAAGCATTATTTAAAGCTTAAAGTAAAGTTTTAAGTGTAAGTATAGTTAAAAGATATTTAGCTAATTATAAACCTTATTTTACTAAAGTTATATGTGTTATTATTCTAGATGCTATACTTAGCTTTAATATTCTTAATAAGGCTAAACCTGCTTTAAATTACTCTAGAACTCTTATAAAAAGCTCTTTTATAGTTATACTTACACTTAAATGTTACTTTAAGCTCTAAATAACACTTTACAAACATACTAGGCTAGTTTATATAAACATAGCCTAGATTACGCTTAGTGCGTAAAGAATTAGCTATATTAGCTATAAATGCTATCTAAGGGGAAATTCCTTGTAGATATAGCTTAAGTATAGTCTTAATAATTACCTACTTTTTTTTATTGCCTAGCCTTTGTAATTTAGCTATAAAATTAGCTTATAAAAGTTATCTAGTGCTATAGTTATTTATTATTTTTTATAAAACTTTATATATAGCTATAACACATTTTTTTAAGAGTTTTATGTTTTATTTAAAAGCTTAGAGCATAAGCTGTATCTAATGTTCTTTTAGCGCGTCTAAGTAGTGTTGTAGAGAATGTATTAGTGTAAGAAGGGTAGTTTAGTAGGGTTTTAGCAAAAGTAAGCAACTTAGGTGTGTGAGCAACTTGCCTGTGAAGTACGTTATAGCTTTTTAAAAAGCTAGAATGCTTACTTAGTTTATATAAAAAATAAACTAAATATTAAACACACTTTTTAAAGGTTGTTTAAGGTTAGAACTATATATATATTTAATAGTGCTAAGAATATGTTAGTTAAGTTTAGATAAGTTTACCTAGCGTAACTTGTCTAACTTGTTTAACTTGTTCCTGTTCCTTAGCCTGCCTTTCTATTAGACAATGCATTCTTCTGTGGCTATAGGCAGCCGTGCTGCCTCCGCACCTTCCGGTTGGTCCATGAACGAGCCCTGCCCCAACCTAGCTAGATTGTGGAGTACTTCGGGTGGAGTTACGTCAGTCCAACCATAGACCGTAACACAAGGTAGAGTAGGTCGGCTCTATTTTAGCTAAACTAGGATAGGGAGTGAAGGAGGCAAAGGGTTTTTGCAAGAGAAATGCTTGCGCGGCGCTAAGGCGCTAGCTGTAACAGCGCAGGCAAGACAATGGGTCCAAATGCGGTAGGAATCCACTTAGAGGTATATGGGAGTGCATGGGGACTTAATGACCTGGAAATTCCATTAACACCTATAGGTCTGTCAGATTGAAGCACTGTTTCTAGGCTTCCTGAGATGAATGATGGGTTTGGATATGATGTATGGGATGATTAATTAATTGTATTAATCGTGTTGATTTATCGATCCTTTTTCTGCTCTACTCGTGTTGCTCGGCTTTTTGTTTTGCCAATCTATTATGTGCAAAAATCAGGAAATTTCTTAGCGTTCCTTAGATCTTTTTTTTCCTTACTAAAATTGCATAAGAGATTACAATCTTAATAGAATTCCTAATATATTAATAAATCCTTCTTAAATATTATTAGTAAGTTAAAGCCTTAAGTTTATATAAAGATACTGCTCTTAGCTTAATTTTTAGAGTAACAGGACAACAATAGGCCTAAAACAGAAGGCTAGAGCAGCCCTAGCTACCTAGACGCGTTAAATTAACCTTAGTAGCAACCCACTAGCCTATTCTACACGTGCGAGGGCACAGGGCCTGTTAAGCAAGCGCAAGGAGACTGCTAGTAGTACTAAACTAAAGTTAGCGTGTTGTAAGTTAACCTAATAGTAAGGGCAAAGTAAGAAAAGCTTACTATATTCTAGCGCCTACTAAAAGTAAGCCTACACCCTAGAAAGCAGTAAAAGCAACTAAATAATCTGCTTCTCCTGCTCTAGCTTAGCAAGAAGCTGTTTCTATAGTTCCTACCTATCACCCTAAGCCTAATACCTTATCTAATATACTTAGGGATAACCTCTTTTTGCTGCTAAAAAGCTCCCCTTTAACTTTTATCTTATCTTAGCCTACTCCTGCTCCTGTAGCTGCTAAGAAGTCTTCCCCCCCTAATTAAATAGTAGAGTTTAACGTCACTGTACAATATTTAGTGCGCGTGAATAGTAATAAGGCTAATAGTAGGCTAGTAGATAAGGTTGTTTCTTAGGCGTTTTTCTTACTCTTACAGGTAAAGAATTAGGTTAATGCTATAATTAAAGGCCCTTTTATATAAGAGCATGTAAAGGCTTAAGATTTTTATATTACCTTACACGCTATTTAATATAGGGCTAACAAGCAGGGGGCTAGCTAGCAGCTCTAAATAATAGAGGACTTTAGGCTTAGTAAAGAACAGAAGCTGTTCTCTAGCATTAAACACTATATAAGGCGCCTTAAAGGCGCAGATAGGGTAGATATTAAAGTAAAAGTAAAGCTTATATATAAGGTAATAACAAAGGCCTTTTTATGTAACTAGTTAGTAAATAAGCCTTTATCTAATTCTCCTATTACTCTAGGCTACAGAGAAAAGTTGCCCTAGCGCACACAGCAGCTGTTAAATAAGAATTATACCTGTTAAAAGATCTAGAATCTTACTACTAGTATTAATAGCTAGAGTTAGATCTCTTATATGTAAAAGTGCTAGGTATTAACCTGCAATAACTTTAAGCACCTTTACTACGTTTACTAGGCTACCTATAAGCACTTTACTATAAAAGACGCTAATTTAGAGTTATAGGCTTAGGCAATCTTTAAAGGCTAAGCATATGTAAATTAGCTACTAATAGAGCTTATATAATACTAGTAAACTTTAACAAGGAACTAGCTAAAGGTAAACCTACATAATAGGCAAAAAAAGAAGTGTTGTAGCTCCTTATTATTTTTAAGTAATAAGAATAAGCTTAGAAAGATAATAAAAGCAGCTAAAAAACATAGAATCTAAGAAAGACTATAGGCTATAAAAAAAGCAGCTAATAAATAGTAGAAAGCTTAGAAGATAAAAAAGTAAGCTTTTTAACAGCAGCAGCTTTAGCAGCAGTTTTAATTAACTAACTATAATATGTTAGGTCTAAGAAATCTGCTGTTTCTGTTTTTAAATGTACTTTATCTACTTCTTGCTTCTTTAACAGCTGCTCTCTGCCTAAAGACTTTTAAACAACTTATACCTATTCTAAGCTTAAGCCCTATTGCTAGCAGTAGGAAGGATAACTTATAGGTGTTAGTAAAGAAGTTTTTTAACTAGCTTATTAAACAACAACTAGTTAAAAATTGCAAGGACTATATACAGGCAAAGGATATAGTAATAGAGCAGAAGTAGACGTTAAAAGATCTTAAAAAGATGTTAATCTTTTAAAGCAAATTATATATAGTAGCAGTAGAAGCTTTATTTTATAACAGCGCAGGCAAAACAATGGGTCTAAATGCAGTGGGAGTCTACTTAGAGGCATATAGGAGTGCGTGGGGACTCTAAACCTAGGAATGCCATTAACACCTATAGGCCTTGTACGTAGGATATTAGAAAACTACTAAGCTAGCTACAGGGGCGAGGTGCAACTAAATACATGAGGGAATAGGGGTAACAGCAGGGGTCAGGGCCAGGTTAAGGTTAGGGCTAATACAGGGGCCTTCCAGGCTATCTAAGATGGAACAATTCATGAGGATCATTACATATTTAGGTTAAAGGATAGAATAGTACATTATTTTTATAATAAGCTTTATTAATTTAAACTTAAATATTAAACTGCTTAAGAACTATTAAATATCTGTAAAGTAACAGGGCAGAGATTAAGTGCTAAGGAGGGAATTTAATAGACTTAAGATTCTAACAAACGCAGGGTTTTTAGTAGCTAAATAAGGTTAATTAGAGTTTAATGTTTTATTATTTTACAACTTAATATCCTTATAGTCTCTGTTATCCTAGGAATCCTTATTGCAGCCCTGTTAAGCGCTAATTTTAGCTCTTACCTAATTAAGCTTCTCTAGCTCTATATATAACCCTCTAGCAGCGTATGTAAAGTGTTTCCTAGCAAAACAATTACACTTACTGCTCCTAATTACGTCCTTAAGGAACAAGCTAAAGCTTGTATACTGCTACTAATAGTATAAATAGTTCCTTTTAATCTATGCCTTTAATACTCTAAAGGTTAACTTAATAAGATTATAGTTAGGCAAGTATAGTAAAAGGAAACAAACAACATAGCTAGCAGCCTTAAGGATAGTTGTAACAGCTTTATTCTAATAGATTAAGACGTTATTAAGAACTATAACTATAGGCTAGGTCCTGTAGGTTGCTTAAAGCAAAGGGAGAAGGCGCTGCTTAATCTAATTAATAAACTCTTTATAATTAAAATATCCTTTCTTTACCCTTATACAAGGCAGGTATCTGTTTACTGTATAGGCCAGAAGGATGGCCTACATCTTCCCGCGCTTTATATCCTAAGTATATTAACTTTTATGGCCTACAGGCCTATAAGCCTTATGCTGCTAGCTAGTTTTCTTATTAAAGATAAACTTATTAAGAAACACTAAATTGTCCTACGTAAACTAATAGAGAGAGCAACAGTAGAGCTCTTAAAGCTCCTTATTACAAGCCTGCAAGAAAGGCTGTAAGGTACGCCTGCTCTATCCATGCTAGGCAAGGTAACAGAAGATTGTAGATCTATTAACCTTCACACCTCTTTCCATCCATAGCTAATAGGCTTGTTCGTCCTAGTATCTCCATCTGCTGCAGATCAACTCCTCAAACAGAGCTTTGCCATCTTCATCGCTAATTTTAGAAGGTCTCCTAAGCTTCATAGTAGGTGGCTTACAGACGCTGCTATAAGCCTTAAGATTGTTCTCTACATTGTAAACCACGTAAAGAGAATAACCCTCACAATCAGCAATTGCAGTTCTAGGCCATCCAAGCAGGAGAAACTGACAGATGTTTATACGAACGCGATCATCAAGCCCTTAGGTGCTTAGTTTGAGATATTGGGGTGATCAGGGCCGGCCAGGAAGGATGGAGACGCCATGAGCGCGATACATCGCAAACAAACGCGTTGTTACTCCTAAAAAAGTTAGTATAGGCGCTTCTCTATACAAACTAAAGGCTTCAACCTACCCAGGGCCGATCCAATCGTTATTTGTTGATATATCAGGAATTCTATCGAGATTCTGATCTCCCATACAATTTTGGTGGGGGAAAAAAAGATCCGAGGAACGCCAAGAAATTTCCCGATTTTTGCACACAATAGATCCGGGTCCCTCGCACACTTGCCCTATGCGCGACCAGCCTGCAACATGCTGCAATTTGCTGCAATTTGCTGCAATATGCTGCAATTTGCTGCAA